CTCCACCTGAACAGCTACAGGCCAAGCACAGCCACAGGATCCACAGCATGTATCTCTAGCAATATGCTCCAATTTCAAAGCATTTGCATATAATCTTATCAATGAGGGTTTTTCCACTAAACTCTTGTTCTGACATGAGGAGAAATGTTTAAAACAGCAAAATGGAAAGGCCACTAGGGAGATATGAATACCTGAACAAAGAGGGCAACCTTTTCTCTCCTGCTGGCCCCATCACCATGGGTGTTGGCTTCCAGAATTGTCCCACAGTGGTCCTAAGGAGCATGTGTGCCAAGTATGGGCAGCAGCATTCTGGTCCTCATGCTTCTTCTTTCTGACTGTACATTCTAATGAGCTGAATGTCAGGCACCAGCCCATCACATCTGCATGGAGCTTGCATTCAAATCACTGACCAAGGTATTTTTTTAATCCAGAACCAGGTGGATCTCCACACCTCCATAAAGGGAGATCCTGTTTGAGGGAGTTGCTTGCTGCCAGGGATTTACAAGGTGCAAGAGAAGTGATGTGTTGTCTGTTAGGGGCAGAAGGCAAGAGGATAATTACAGTGTTGTCATTTTTGATAGCATAGGGCAACATGCCACTAAAAGTGTGGGTTTAGTCTTCAAAGAGATGGTATTTCCTTGACTCTCTCTTTTATGCTCTGTCTTTTAATTCTCTATGAGATAGATAAGTGCTATTACCCATTTCTCTTGGGCTGAAATCACAGACGATGAGAAAAGTGAGAAGCTGAGCTCTGGGGTCTAACCATCACCCTTCAGTATTGGACTCCTCCTTGGTAAAAGGGAAGAAGATGAGATGGGGGCCCTTTCTCAAGTGCAGCCAACCTCACCAAGACAATGGCATGATATCCTCATAGGTCAACTTGGGAAGTGGAGATTAGATGAGTGGATGGTGAGGTGGATTAAGACCTGACTGAACAGCAGATCCCAGAGGATTATGAGATGGGAATACAATTCAGGTGCCAGCTGCACAGGATACTGACTAATGCATCTTTTTCCCTCCAGACACAGCCCTGTCCAAGATGGGTTAAACACAAACCTCCAGCCATACAGACTATCCCTTCATTATGTCTTTTTTCCCCCCAGAAGCTCTTGATCTGAGATGTATTTCAACTAGCGACCTTGACTGAAAGAGTACCAAATCCCATGCTGTGTATCTTGGGGATACCCTGTCTCATTAATAAGTACCTTCATTTCAGAGTATTGTCTATTTATTTTGGAAGTTTTACCTCCCCTTGTTGAAAAAACAGAGATGAATTGAGGATAAATACAGGCAGGAAATGGTTTCCGTGGCAACACTAAGACTACATAAGAACAATCTCATCATTCACTTTTATTCCTTAGATACACTTTTAAAAGAAGTTTGAGCTACGTTAAAAGACATGTCCTGTTCACAGCACAGCACCCAAGGCAGCAGAAATAATCAGCTCTGATTTCACTTTCAGTGAGATGGGAAATAAGTTCCTTAAAAAAAAAACAGAGACGAAAGCTCTTAGTTTCCAGGGAATGAAAGCTCAGTCAAAAGAGGAGTTCATTCAGATTCAGTGCTGGTCAAAAAAAAGCTGCTCTATGCAACATTCAGCTTTGCTGAAGTGCAACTCACACTAACAGACTTTCAGTGTATCCTGCTCAGAGTCTTAGGTTTTAGTGAAGCCTTGGGTCAGATTGACTGTAAGCAAAATGCAGTCTAGTTGTGTGACAGTACTGGGAAGGAAATCCATAAAGCTCTTTTTGAGAGCTTATTAGTGAAGACATCAAAGCTTGCTGCGATGTGATTTCTACTCCTGTCACATTGCACTACTGTGTTCCCCCCTCCCTCATGATCTCCTTGCCATTTCTGCCTGCCTCCCCACATGCTCTAAGGTGAAGGAGAGACATTTCAGCAACTTGGATGACTTTGCCTTCTCTCTGGAATGGTGCTTCCAGCCTCAGAAACCAGGGGAGAGCTTACTAGGCACAATCTCCTCACCCAAGTTGGTCTACAATCAGGTTTCAGGCTTAGCTCCAGCAGATTTCTACCTGCAGAGGAAGCAAGATCTTCCATTTCTCATCATGAAAGAGGGATCAGATGGGCCAGCAAAGGTCACAGCATACCAAGGACCTGGTGTTCAATCTGCTTCCTTGTCTCATGTCTTTTCTGGGTGCACTGCTTTCCAAAAACAAACCCATACTGTATGTAAGACCTATTTTTTTTTGGTTCTCAGCTGCCTAAGCAGCATTAGATTTTTCTTCAATAATGCTGGGGGTTAATCCCTAGTGCAGGTACACATCATTATCCACAAGCTGGTTTTTACTGAACATACTATTGATGCTATGGAAGGAGGACCCACTGCTGATGACATGTGGAGATGATGGCAGGGAACTCTTGTGGTCACAGGAGGATCAGTGGTTTAGCTGGGTGTAAACACAGCACATGTGCTTCAATGTGTGTCTCACATGAAGTCACAGATCTAGGAACAGAAGTGGCAGAACACAAGAAGGTCTCCAGGGCTTGTCTGGTTCATTGGAAAGAATCTGCTCTCATTAGACCCCTGAGAACAAGACTGGTCACTACTTACCATTGCCTGGATGAGGACAGATACTTGATGGCCAAATGCTTTTTGTTCTAGGTGAATGGCAAAACTGGGTGGAAGCTGAAAGTAAGGAAATGCAGACAAAAATAAAATGCATTTTTTTATTTTAAGTATAATAGTAATTGGACTTTATGACTTCAAACAAGGTTGAAAGTGGTTTTTCCCTCCTAAGAAACTTAACATTTGTGGTGGTTCTCTTAAAGATAGATGACTTCCAGAAGGTCCACTGAACAAGGTTATGAGGGGGATCAGGAAAGATAATCACAGAGGTATCTTTCTGGTGCTAGAACCTACTGCATGAAGAGCAGAGCAGTGGAGGAGGTAATCCAACACCATGGCCAATCTGGTAGGCTCAGTCTTGGAAGGACTCATGTGAAGAAAGGGGAATATACAGTGGGAATATACAGTGGGAATATACACCCACATCCTTTAAGGGCTCTAGTATTTGCAAAAGATTGCTGATACACATCTTCCTGTTCTTCGGCTTCTTTGAAGATCCCCCAAGAGGGAGAGTCTCTTGTTCTACCAGTGCCGGTTTATTTGGTTTTGTCGTGAATCTATCTCCATTGCTGCCTTGTATTAGTGGAAGGGTTTCATAGTCTCTTCTGAGCCGGATTAATAGCCTTCCTCTGAAGTAGCTCAGTGTGGCCCAGCTGATGGTGCGCGGACAGCACACTGGCAGCGGTGCTGGAGGAGCTTTGAAGAGGATGATGGTGTGAGGGACTGAAGGTTGAGTTAATGACTCGAACAATGGGCAGTTGCAAAAGCAGCAGGGTGCTTTGCTGAGGCCAGGTTTGCACACCCCTGTCGAGGGGGAGAAGAGATTTTTTGTGTGTGTGGTGGCAAAAGCTCTGATCTGCATAAGAACAGCCCAGGTGGGGAGAGGGTGCGCTCCAGCCGCCAGAGGATGACCGAGATAAACCGAGCTTTGTTCAGCAACAAGCTGGGTTTTGAGCCAGATGGAGGGGAAGGCGGATAAGAAACACATCCTGCAGAGGTGGGATAATGCTTTTTATCATGACAATGTCCTCTCACACAAGCGGTTCAGGTGTAAATCTGCCCTGCCGGGAGGTATAGAGACATTCACATTGCCATGGGCCTGAAGGTTTTCATCCCTTCTGATGGGGCATAACTGGCTGAACTACGCTGGCCTGAGGAACAGCAGTCAGGTTTTAGGGGAACTCGTGAACCATCAAAGACCCCCGAGGCGCCCCAGGCTCACTTTTGTGGGGCGCTTCGGAGAGGACTGGTCACGATCCACAGTGTTTCAACGCAGTGTAAAACTCCCCCCTCCAGGGCAGGTACATGGCCCTTCCCATCTGAAGCTGAGCTTTTATTAACCCCTCGAGGTTAATGTTCTGTGGGCTTCCCCCATGTCCCGACGGATCAAGACTGCGACCGTCACTTGCCCACTTGGTTGGAGGATTGCTAGTGCCTCTACGCCTGCCCTAGCTCTGCTCCTGCCCAGGATTAACTCTGCAGAACCCTCACTGATTTGAGTAATCAGTGACCAGTGGTCACTTGGACCAAGTGCAACGACTGAGTCCTGTTGCTTGATCCACTGACCATTCCTGTCCACTACTACTCTTATCCTTTTATTCTTGTTTTTAATTTTCCTTAAAAATGTTCTCAAGTGGTATCTTTATATGTTGATATTGTTGAATTTTTACAGATAGTAACAAAAATAGCTACATAACGTCTTTCAATTGAAACCAAATTGTTCTAAAATAAACCTGGCAAATATACATATATATGAACACCGGTCATATATAGTCAATAGATCCCTGATCGGCCCCAAGGGATCTATTAACAAGAACCTCAGTTACCCTTGCCTCCAGGGCTGGGTTGTAAAATGTGGTTACTGGGGAGGTTAGGGATTTGCAAAGAGCCCCCAAACCTGAGTCTGTTTCCCATGATGTTGTGCCACTCTGGATTAGTTCATAATAGGAAATGATGCTGTAGCCAAAGACAGCCCTAGAAACTAATGTAGTCACTTCCTTATCTCCAAGAGTCTGATTAAACTGAGAAATTATTTCTAAATCTGCTTCTGCATTTTCCATCTGAAGTATCACTAACTTCAAATTTAAAAAAAATCTGAAATGCTGCAATACAGTAATGAGGAAATATGACTGAGGTGTGGGTGGTTTTGTTCTGTAAATGAGTATGCATTGTTTGTTTCAAGATCAAAATACAGCAATTGTATATAGAATTTCTGCTCTATGGGGTGAGATTTTACCATCTATGGTGCTTGGTGTCAGGGATGGACTTTCTTTATCACACTGCACTTCTCAAACAAGATACTTCTCAAAGATACTATCTTTGTTTAAAGAGGGCTCAGTGCTGGGAGGCCAAATGAACCAGGTTATGGAGACCAGACTGCATAACCACAGCACTCTCTTTCTGATTTAAGCTGCAGAAGAGGATTTCCTGACCATGAGGAACAGGACAGTTAAGAGACACAGCCTAGCATTGTGGCCAAACACCGCGACCCGTCTTCTGAGAAAGAGACCCATCTTCTGAGAAGAAAAGAGGAGGACTTCTCAGTGGGGAACTTTGCAAGGCCCATGCTCCATAAAGGGCTTCTGAGAGCAGTGTGCAAGCCAGGCAGTGGGCCGGGAGCCAGAGCAGCAGAAGCCATGGGGCATGGCCCAAACTTGCATGATCCATGGTGACAAAACATGTGGAGCTCCTCTTTTGGGAATGAGATCCCTAAGGGCCTGGCTGTGCCCCTGCCTGCCCTGTGTGTGTGGAAGGAGGAGTGTATGAACTCTCCTGGGCTAAGGTACAGCGGAGTTTGGCTGGAGGATTGCTAGTGCCTCTACACCTGCCCTAGCTCTGCTCCTGCCCTTTTTTTGCAGAGTAACTCTGCAAAACCCTCACTGATTTGAACAATTGTTGCCTAAGCCCCTCTGTCCATGTGTCTGTGCTTCTTTACCATGTCTATCAATTAAGCAAAAGCCCCAGACATCCTTTTGCTCATACAATGCTTTAATTATAAAGTAGTTTGCTTCTGATTGGCAATTACTGTGCCTGGGAATGGGCCTCACAAGTGGGTGGGCTTTTGAGACCTGGCTGTCACTCATCTGCCTTGTCCCCTTCTCCATCTGGCTGCCAAAGAAGCATGAGCTCTTGCAGAATTTTCTGTGAAATAAGAGCACTAATTAAGAAGTGGACTGGATTGGCCTTTACTGAGGCGGTATCTTTGATTTGTTTCTTTGGTTTTTTTCTCTCCCTTGTGACTAGGAAAGGTCTGATACTCATTGCAATTCCTAGGCTGACCCAAGCACACCGTGGCACCTGGCTCCCCCTGCCAGACGTGCTGTAAAGGAGAGAAATGAGAGCCATGGCACACAGAGAGCCTGCCACTGACCTCTGCTGTTACCCTAGGAAAAACACTTCTCAGGAGCACCATCCCAAACCCAGATGCTGGAATCTTTGTGAGGTCTGAGGGGTCACCATGGGGCCTGTGCAAAGGGAAAGCAGGGGGCAGGGCTGGGTGATGGGAGCAGACTGAGCCTTCTTCCTCTGAAATCCTTGAGCTGAAGACCAGGGATAGAAATGCAAATGTGAAGAAACTGCAAGTCTTCTCTGTATCCTGACTCAACAGGGCAGCTTTGCAAGTTACCCTGGGGTCCAGCATGGGTGCAGGAGCCTGGACACTGTTTGTGGTCCTCCTCCTGGCCTGGGGAAGGCTCCTGCCCTCTCTTGACCTCACCTGCCACTGGTCCTGCACTCTTCCATCCCATGACATCCTGTCTGCTGGCAAAAACCAGTCCCAGCTCAGGAATACCATAATGAATGGAAGTGTCAAAGTGCAGGGTTGGCCTGATATGGTCTGAGGCAACTTGCCACATGCAGGAGTCAGCCACTGTTGTAGTGGTCTTCTCATAAACTTTCTATGGCCTGTGAATCTGGGTTGTGCAGCATGCTCTCCTATGTCAGTTGACCCTTCAAACCCTCTCCTAGCCCCTTCCTACATCAGCAAGCATCTAGAGACAGAACCTTTTCCTTTTGCAAGTATAAACTCCACAGGGTTATGTTAATACCCTGCACTTTGCTTTTGCTTATAGGAATCAGACCAGTCACAGTCATTCAACAGTGAATATTGGCAAAGATCAAATATTTTGTGGCACAAAGATTAGGAACTGAGCACATTTTTGATGCAAACCTCCCTTTCTTCAGCAGCCTGTGTTATTTTGAGCTATTTAGATTCAGCCACTAGAGAGCAAACTTCTTCTTTTTATCAAATGGCAATTTTATATTCCTACAAAAAAGAATTGTACAGTTCTTCAGGCTAAAGCCCATGAAAATTGAAAACAGCTCTAAGTTTACAGAAGAAAAAAGAGGCTTTCTTGCTTGCTCTTTCTATCTGTCTTTTTCTCTTTCCCTCTTTCTCTCTTCACAAGCTGTGGTTTAGGAAGAGAGAATAAGCAAGTGTGTTTTGTTTTAGTGCAGGCCTCTGTTAATGACTGCTGAAGCTCCCTTCCTCCGTGTCAATCACCAGAGGGAATTGTTCATCCTGACATTTGGAAGTCTGTGTGAGTAGAATCTCAAAAGGAGGCCTTGGGATGCCAATAGGCAACATCTATGCAGTTGTGCCAGAGTTAGAGAGGAGGGGATCTGCAAACTATCAGGATTATACCCATTAATATTGGCAGCTGCCTCTTTCTGGATTAGTGCTAAGCAGCTGGGCTCCTTAGACCATGTAGTTTAAATGCCCTTGAGATGTGACTGCAAACAGAATGGAGAAGTCAAATCTTTCTGGGAGGGAGTCTTGAGCCATGGGCTTTCATTTGTCCCTTTGTCTTTCACAGCTAGGACTTGCTCTGCTCTGATGGTGAGCTCAGGTATGGAGATAAGTGGTTTAACAGGAGACAGGTCCCAGGGATGGGCTGGGACTGTGCTTGCCAGCCCAGACAGCAGCAGCAGGAGGGAGTTGACCTTTCTGGGAAACACCCTCAAATGGCCCAGAGCACAAGTGGAGACAAGCTGGTTCTGTCAAAATCTGGCAAGCCACATCAGCACCTGATGAAAATCAGCCCTTCCCAGGAAAATGGAAGGGGATTTTATGAAATACCTAGTTTTGCCATTAGTGTGTACACAGTGGGTTATCTCCCTGCCTTTCTTTGTGAACTGACCAGCTGCAGGTGCTTGCTGGTGCCTAATGTTCAATGAGATGTGCCCTTCTGGTGGCTCACAGGCATGGTGCTAGGCCCCAGAACTCCATGGGCCTTTACAAAAGCATCCTCCACTGGGCTGTAGTAATATGTGATTTGACTGCTAAGAGGACAAACCCTACCGTTTAATGTCCTATTGACATTACAAATTGCCCCATGGGGTGATGTGGCCCAGATTTAATCAGTTTAATCCATTGTACCAATGTGGGAGCTAGTGTTCTAGACAGAAACTGCTTTATTATCCTTGTGCTACAGTCATCAAAATGAAGTGGCTATGAAATGAATTAGTTGTACCCCTACCACGTGCTGTGAGAGACTCTACAAGCCAGATGTTTTTCCAGATCCCCAGGCATCTTAGGATTTTGGACTCAGTCAGAGCAGCTACGAGAGTCACAGTTGGAAAATCTCATCAGGTCATTCTATTGCTATGTAAGTTTTTATATTTGCTGTGAAGCCAGTGATCTTGAGATCAACTACATCTTGGGCAAGTGCTCTACAAATGCAGGCAGCAGGGTAATAAAATCTTTTTACTTCTGTCTTGGGAACATCAAGGTGTTGGAGAGTTGATGAGTCAGTTTGGAGAATGTGGTACCTCCATCCTGCTTGATGCAACTTAGCTGCAACTGTGACTTCAAAGATCCATCACTTCAGGGGCTTGGATGTGAGCAACTTCTCTGTAAGGTCGCAGAGATCACAGAGGTACTGCCAGGCATCCAGACTGCCACAAAGGGTTGGGTATTGACCTGCCCAAGCAGCAGCCATAGCAGGTGTGACACCTCCTCTGACCCTCCACTCATACCTGCTTTGGTCTCCTCTGTAAATAACTAATAGCCCTTTGTGAAGTGTGGCTTTGGGCAAGCTTGTTCACCAGAGAAGCTCCTAGCTGGTGCTCAGGTTACAAACAGCCTCTGGACAAAGCAAACAGCTCCCAGGACACGTTGGCAGCAGCTGCATAGCTTATGTCTTTGCTCTGTGTTTGACAGCCCAGTGCAGTGTCAGTGTAAATCCAGCCCTTGGCACATTCAAACCTCTTGTACACTCTTACCTGTCTAGCTGGCTGTTAAAACTGTGTCAGAAGCAAAAGCTGATTATCAGCTTAAGCAGTGCTGTTTCTCCTCTTTGGCTGTAAACTGTTGGCCACAACATTAGCAGGGGCAAAACCAGCACTTTGCACTTCCTCTAGAAAAGACTTCTGGATAGGAACTGTTTAGGCACTTAGCATCTACTTCATGGATAGGTATATCAGTAGCTTTAATAGGATACATTTAGGAGTACTCTGTGCAGCTTCCATGTAGGGACAAGGATCTCTCTCTTTTTTAAAAAATAAGGCCATAATGATTTTTATTCTGCCTCTGAAAACCCATTTTCTGCAAATGTTTATGTGTCTACAATTAGATCTCATGAACTCTTAATGGAATGGTCTGCACACTTTTCCCCAGGAGCTCTTCTAAATGTCTGTCATAAGTGATTGTTTTCAAAAATACATCATGGGTTTGAGTCTCTGCTTGTACTTTCTTTATCCCTGTGGGACAGGCTGCATTGCTATTACCGTGCTGCGGTTGCTGAGGTCTCCATCCACAGCACGTGTTGGTGCTGGACCACCTTGGCACCTGCCCTTTGTGCCTTGCATGAGTCAGAAGCTGTGTGCAGGGATGGGAAGGAGATGCTTGTCTGGCACCATGGGGGAAGGACCATGCTTGTAAGTTGTGGTGGGAGTGCAACTTTCTGTGGACTCTCTGCATGGCTGTGAACTATGGCTTCCCCACCCCAGCCCTGAGCTAAAGCATTTGCCTGTATTTCACTTGCGTTTTTTGGTTTGGAAATTCTTTTTATGAGGAATTTTTTTAAATGGAAAAATTAAAGACATTTCTTCCTAAATCCTTTGGAAAATATTTTGCCAAGCACTGTGTTGTGTTTAACAGAATTTCATTCTTGGCTTCTGTTCACTCTAAAACACTCTTTTTAACTCCCTCTTTATACATCTCTTCTTTTCATACAAAAACGGTATCAATTTTCATAACTTTTCTGTCTGTCTCTCTGCCTAAAGTTGGACAGCCACTTTCCTTGTCTCCGTCCATCTCTATAGTGTTATGCCTCTCCATTTCTTTCCTTTTTTTTTTCCTTTGTGATTTATTCCTGGAAGACATGGCTTGCAGTGAAAGTTTACTGATGCTGGAAAGGAAGATAGAACAAAATAAAAACTGTTCTCTGTCTTGCTTCCTTACTCTTCATGTTCCTGGAGTGTTCAGTTGTTTGTCCTTCAGCCAGACCTGTGAATCACTCCCAAGGCCTTATCTTTGTTTCTTGCTCTGAAATGAGAATTAGTATCTCTGGTTAGAGGAGACTAAAACCAGCATGCCCCTGCTGTCTGATGTGCTCAGGTCAGTCTAGGGTCTGCTGCAGGGTCCTCTGTGTGGGGATACTGTAATGACATTTGGTGTCATTCCCTCTTTCAGTGGGGTGAGGCTGGTTGTACATGACCTCGGGCCTTGCTTAGCAATTCCCTTGTGTGGTTTTAGGCTTAAGCTGGCAATTAGAGCTGCTCTCCTTTCAGTGCATCAGCAGCTTGTCATGCAGAGAGCATTGCTGTCTTGGAGTGGTCCCAGACCTAGCCTGGGGAGGAGCAAAGCAGGGAAAGGAAATGGGCTGTGGAGGGGTGGGGGGAGAGGACAATCACCTTTGGCATTATGAAACTTATGCCCTATAAAATATTGCAATTATATTGTTTTCTAAATCCAGTGGGAACCATTGTTTTTCAAGCAATAAATATCCTCCTGCAGTGTTGGCAGCCATAATATGGCAGCTCTGACAACCCGATAGTGAAACTCATTCCAGTAATATGAAACAAAACTGATGTTAGTGACTTACTATTAGCTAAGCTGAAAGAAACAGTCAAAAAAGGTAAATAAATGGAATGTTCAAATTTGTTTTCCTCTTCCCATTTAATAATATTTTTACAGTAAGTCCAAGACCTTCACTAGCAAGATGTTTTTGATAACATTTTGACAACAGAGCCTTGAGAGATGCAGAAGGAACCACTAATAACTGACAGACCAAACCCAATATTTTTTGTTAAGAATGATGCTTATTTTTTTGTACTTCAAACTTTTCAAGGCAATCATTCATTCTTTTAACACCAGCAATATTTTCTTTTCTCATCTCTCAGATGTTTCGGTGTAGGATAAACAACACATTCTATTGGTATTCCTGTAGCAGAAATTCAAATGAATAGCAAATAAATATTAATGAAAAAAAACAAGAATGATGTGATTAAACTGAGGTTCTAATGCAACAAACCTTACTCAGCTTTCAGCACCACTAGAATTAGATGCTACTTGGTACAAATAGGAATGAAAGTGCAGAGCATTTCACGGTTAATGCTGTACCTAAGCTCCAT